GTGTAGGTTAGGTTACAGTTAGTTATACTGGGTGGGTTTATATTATTAAAGGGACACTCCAGGCTCCCACACACGTTAGATGCACTGTGTAGGTTAGGTTACAGTTAGTTATACTGGGTGGGTTTATATTATTAAAGGGACACTCCAGGCTCCCACACACGTTAGATGCACTGTGTAGGTTAGGTTACAGTTAGTTATACTGGGTGGGTTTATATTATTAAAGGGACACTCCAGGCTCCCACACACGTTAGATGCACTGTGTAGGTTAGGTTACAGTTAGTTATACTGGGTGGGTTTATATTATTAAAGGGACACTCCAGGCTCCCACACACGTTAGATGCACTGTGTAGGTTAGGTTACAGTTAATTATACTGGGTGGGTGTATATTATTAAAGGGACACTCCAGGCTCCCACACACGTTAGATGCACTGTGTAGGTTAGGTTACAGTTAGTTATACTGGGTGGGTTTATATTATTAAAGGGACACTCCAGGCTCCCACACACGTTAGATGCACTGTGTAGGTTAGGTTACAGTTAGTTATACTGGGTGGTTTATATTATTAAAGGGACACTCCAGGCTCCCACACACTTAGATGCACTGTGTAGGTTAGGTTACAGTTAGTTATACTGGGTGGGTTTATATTATTAAAGGGACACTCCAGGCTCCCACACACGTTAGATGCACTGTGTAGGTTAGGTTACAGTTAGTTATACTGGGTGGGTTTATATTATTAAAGGGACACTCCAGGCTCCCACACACGTTAGATGCACTGTGTAGGTTAGGTTACAGTTAGTTATACTGGGTGGGTTTATATTATTAAAGGGACACTCCAGGCTCCCACACACGTTAGATGCACTATGTAGGTTAGGTTACAGTTAGTTATACTGGGTGGGTTTATATTATTAAAGGGACACTCCAGGCTCCCACACACGTTAGATGCACTGTGTAGGTTAGGTTACAGTTATACTGGGTGGGTTTATATTATTAAAGGAACACTCCAGGTTCCCACACACGTTAGATGCACTGTGTAGGTTAGGTTACAGTTAGTTATACTGGGTGGGTTTATATTATTAAAGGGACGCTCCAGGCTCCCACACACATTAGGTGCACTGTGTAGGTTAGGTTACAGTTATTTATACTGGGTGGGTTTATATTATTAAAGGGACACTCCAGGCTCTCACACACGTTAGATGCACTGTGTATGTTAGCTTACAGTTAGTTATACTGGGTGGGTTTATATTATTAAAGGTACACTCCAGGCTCCCACACACGTTAGATGCACTGTGTAGGTTAGGTTACAGTTAGTTATACTGGGTGGGTTTATATTATTAAAGGGACACTCCAGGCTCCCACACACGTTAGATGCACTGTGAAGGTTAGGTTACAGTTAGTTATACTGGGTGGGTTTATATTATTAAAGGGACACTCCAGGCTCCCACACACGTTAGATGCACTGTGTAGGTTAGGATACAGTTCGTTATACTGGGTGGGTTTATATTATTAAAGGGACACTCCAGGCTCCCACACACGTTAGATGCACTGTGTAGGTTAGGATACAGTTAGTTATACTGGGTGGGTTTATATTATTAAAGGGACACTCCAGGCTCCACACACGTTAGGTGCACTGTGTAGGTTAGGTTACAGTTAGTTATACTGGGTGGGTTTATATTATTAAAGGGACACTCCAGGTTCCCACACACGTTAGATGCACTGTGTAGGTTAGGTTACAGATAATTATACTGGCTGGGTGTATATTATTAAAGGGACACTCCAGGCTCCCACACACGTTAGATGCACTGTGTAGGTTAGGTTACAGTTAGTTATACTGGGTGGGTTTATATTATTAAAGGGACACTCCAGGCTCCCACACGCGTTAGATGCACTGTGTAGGTTAGGTTACAGTTAGTTATACTGGGTGGGTTTATATTATTAAAGGGACACTCCAGGCTCACACACACGTTAGGTGCACTGTGTAGGTTAGGTTACAGTTAGTTATACTGGGTGGGTTTATATTATTAAAGGGACACTCCAGGTTCCCACACACGTTAGATGCACTGTGTAGGTTAGGTTACAGATAATTATACTGGCTGGGTGTATATTATTAAAGGGACACTCCAGGCTCCCACACACGTTAGATGCACTGTGTAGGTTAGGTTACAGTTAGCTATACTGGGTGGGTTTATATTATTAAAGGGACACTCCAGGCTCCCACACACGTTAGATGCACTGTGTAGGTCAGGTTACAGTTGGTTATACTGGGTGGGTTTATATTATTAAAGGGACACTCCAGGCTCCCACACATTAGGTGCACTGTGTAGGTTAGGTTACAGTTAGTTATACTGGGTGGGTTTATATTATTAAAGGGACACTCCAGGCCCCCACACACGTTAGATGCACTGTGTAGGTTAGCTTACAGTTAGTTATCCTGGTTGGGTTTATATTATTAAAGGGTCACTCCAGGCTCCCACACACATTAGGTGCACTGTGTAGGTTAGGTTACAGTTATACTGGGTGGGTTTATATTATTAAAGGGACACTCCAGGCTCTCACACACGTTAGATGCACTGTGTATGTTAGGTTACAGTTAGTTATACTGGGTGGGTTTATATTATTAAAGGGACACTCCAGGCTCCCACACACGTTAGGTGCACTGTGTAGGTTAGGTTCCAGTTAGTTATACTGGGTAGGTTTATATTATTAAAGGGACACTCCAGGCTCCCACACACTTAAGATGCACTGTGTAGGTTAGGTTACAGTTAGTTAAACTGGGTGGGTTTATATTATTAAAGGGACACTCCAGGTTCCCACACACGTTAGATGCACTGTGTAGGTTAGGTTACAGATAATTATACTAGCTGGGTGTATATTATTAAAGGGACACTCCAGGCTCCCACACACGTTAGATGCACTGTGTAGGTTGGGTTACAGTTAGTTATACTGGGTGGGTTTATATTATTAAAGGGACACTCCAGGCTCCCACACATGGTAGATGCACTGTGTAGGTTAGGTTACAGTTAGTTATACCGGGTGGGTTTATATTATTAAAGGGACACTCCAGGCTCCCACACACGTTAGATGCACTGTGTAGGTTAGGTTACAGTTAGTTATACTGGGTGGGTTTATATTATTAAAGGGACACTCCAGGCTCCCACACACGTTAGATACACTGTGTAGGTTAGGTTACAGTTAGTTATACTGGGTGGGTTTATATTATTAAAGGGACACTCCAGGCTCCCACACACGTTAGGTGCACTGTGTAGGTTGGGTTACAGTTAGTTATACTGGGTGGGTTTATATTATTAAATGGACACTCCAGGCTCCCACACACGTTAGATGCACTGTGTAGGTTAGGTTACAGTTCGTTATACTGGGTGGGTTTATATTATTAAAGGGACACTCCAGGCTCCCACACACGTTAGATGCACTGTGTAGGTTAGGTTACAGTTAGTTATACTGGGTGGGTTTATATTATTAAAGGGACACTCCAGGTTTCCACACACGTTAGATGCACTGTGTAGGTTAGGTTACAGTTAGTTATACTGGGTGGGTTTATATTATTATAGGGACACTCCAGGCTCCCACACACGTTAGATGCACTGTGTAGGTTAGGTTACAGTTAGTTATACTGGGTGGGTTTATATTATTAAAGGGACACTCCAGGCTCCCACACACGTTAGATGCACTGTGTAGGTTAGGTTACAGTTAGTTATACTGGGTGGGTTTATATTAGTAAAGGGACACTCCAGGCTCCCACACACGTTAGGTGCACTGTGTAGGTTAGGTTACAGTTAGTTATACTGGGTGGGTTTATATTATTAAAGGGACACTCCAGGCTCCCACACACGTTAGATGCACTGTGTAGGTTAGATTACAGTTATACTGGGTGGGTTTATATTATTAAAGGGACACTCCAGGCTCCCACACATGTTAGATGCACTGTGTAGGTTAGGTTACAGTTAGTTATACTGGGTGGGTTTATATTATTAAAGGGACACTCCAGGCTCCCTCACACGTTAGATGCACTGTGTAGGTTAGGTTACAGTTAGTTATACTGGGTGGGTTTATATTATTAAAGGGACACTCCAGGCTCCCACACGTTAGGGGCACTGTGTAGGTTAGGTTACAGTTAGTTATACTGGGTGGGTTTATATTATTAAAGGGACACTCCAAGCTGCCACACACACGTTAGATGCACTGTGTAGGTTAGGTTACAGTTAGTTATACTGGGTGGGTTTATATTATTAAAGGGACACTCCGGGTTCCCACACATGTTAGGTGCACTGTGTAGGTTAGGTTACAGTTAGTTATACTGGGTGGGTTTATATTATTAAAGGGACACTCCAGGCTCCCACACGTTAGGGGCACTGTGTAGGTTAGGTTACAGTTAGTTATACTGGGTGGGTTTATATTATTATAGGGACACTCCAGGCTCCCTCACACGTTAGATGCACTGTGTAGGTTAGGTTACAGTTAGTCATACTGGGTGGGTTTATATTATTAAAGGGACACTCCAGGCTCCCACACATGTTAGATGCACTGTGTAGGTTAGGTTACAGTTAGTTATACTGGGTGGGTTTATATTATTATAGGGACACTCCAGGCTCCCTCACACGTTAGATGCACTGTGTAGGTTAGGTTACAGTTAGTCATACTGGGTGGGCTTATATTATTAAAGGGACACTCCAGGCTCCCACACACGTTAGATGCACTGTGTAGGTCAGATTACAGTTATACTGGGTGGGTTTATATTATTATAGGGACACTCCAGGCTCCCTCACACGTTAGATGCACTGTGTAGGTTAGGTTACAGTTAGTTATACTGGGTGGGTTTATATTATTAAAGGGACACTCCAGGCTCCCACACATATTAGATGCACTGTGTAGGTTAGGTTACAGTTAGTTATACTGGGTGGGTTTATATTATTAAAGGGACACTCCAGGCTCCCACACACGTTAGATGCACTGTGTAGGTTAGGTTACAGTTAGTTATACTGGGTGGGTTTATATTATTAAAGGGACACTCCAGGCTCCCACACACGTTAGATGCACTGTGTAGGTTAGGTTACTGTTAGTTATACTGGGTGGGTTTATATTATTAAAGGGACACTCCAGGCTCCCACACACATTAGATGCACTGTGTAGGTTAGGTTACAGTTAGTTATACTGGGTGGGTTTATATTATTAAAGGGACACTCCAGGCTCCCTCACACGTTAGATGCACTGTGTAGGTTAGGTTACAGTTAGTTATACTGGGTGGGTTTATATTATTAAAGGGACACTCCAGGCTCTCAAACACATTAGATGCACTGTGTAGGTTAGGTTACAGTTGGTTATACGGGTGGGTTTATATTATTAAAGGGACACTCCAGGCTCCCACACACGTTAGGTGCACTGTGTAGGTTAGGTTACAGTTAGTTATACTGGGTGGGTTTATATTATTAAAGGGACACTCCAGGCTCCCACACACGTTAGATGCACTGTGTAGGTTAGGTTACAGTTAGTTACACTGGGTGGGTTCATATTATTAAAGGGACACTCCAGGCTCCCACACACGTTAGGTGCATTGTGTAGGTTAGGTTACAGTTAGTTATACTGGGTGGGTTTATATTATTATTAAAAGCACTCAGGCTCCCACACCCCGTTAGGTGCACTGTGTGAGTTGGGTTACAGTTAGTTATACTGGGTGGGTTTTATATTATTAAAGGGACACTCAGGCTCTCACACGTTAGATGCACTGTGTAGGTTAGGTTACAGTTAGTCCTTACTACTAAGATTGGGTTTATATTATTAAAGGGACACTCCAGGCTCCCTTTTACCGTTAGGTGCACTGTGTAGGTTAGGTTACAGTTAGTTATACTGGGTGGGTTTATATTATTAAAGGGACCTCCGGGCTCTACGTTAGATGCACTGTGTGAGTTAGGTTACAGTTAGTTATACTGGGTGAGTTTATATTGTCAGGGACACTCAGGCTCCCTCCACCGTTAGATGCACTGTGTAGGTTAGATTACAGTTAGTTATACTGGGTGGGTTTATATTATTAAAGGGACACTCCAGGCTCCCACACACGTTAGATGCACTGTGTAGGTTAGGTTACAGTTAGTTATACTGGGTGGTTTTATATTATTAAAGGGACACTCCAGGCTCTCACACACGTTAGATGCACTGTGTAGGTTAGGTTACAGTTAGTTATACTGGGTAAGTTTATATTATTATAGGGACACTCCAGGCTCCCTCACACGTTAGGTGCACTGTGTAGCTTAGGTTACAGTTAGTTATACCGGGTGGTTTTATATTATTAAAGGGACACTCCAGGCTCTCACACACGTTAGATGCACTGTGTAGGTTAGGTTACAGTTAGTTATACTGGGTAAGTTTATATTATTATAGGGACACTCCAGGCTCCCTCACACGTTAGGTGCACTGTGTATGTTAGGTTAGTTATACTGGGTGGGTTTATATTATTAAAGGGATACTCCAGGCTCCCACACACGTTAGGTGCACTGTGTAGGTTAGGTTACAGTTAGTTATACTGGGTGGGTTTATATTATTAAAGGGACACTCCAGGCTCCCACACACGTTAGATGCACCGTGTAGGTTAGGTTACAGTTAGTTATACTGGGTGGGTTTATATTATTAAAGGGACACTCCAGGCTCCCACACACGTTAGATGCACTGTGTAGGTTAGGTTACAGTTAGTTATACTGGGTGAGTTTATATTATTAAAGGGACACTCCAGGCTCCCACACACGTTAGATGCACTGTGTAGGTTAGGCTACAGTCAGTTATACTGGGTGGGTTTATATTATTAAAGGGACACTCCAGGCTCCCACACACGTTAGATGCACTGTGTAGGTTAGGTTACAGTTAGTTATACTGCGTGGGTTTATATTATTAAAAGGGACACTCCAGGCTCCCACACACGTTAGATGCACTGTGTAGGTTAGGTTACAGTTAGTTATACTGGGTGGGTTTATATTATTAAAGGTACACTCCGGGTTCCCACACACATTAGATGCACTGTGTAGGTTAGGTTACAGTTAGTTATACTGGGTGGGTTTATATTATTAAAGGTACACTCCAGGCTCCCACACACGTTAGATGCACTGTGTAGGTTAGGTTACAGTTAGTTATACTGGGTGGGTTTATATTATTAAAGGGACACTCCAGGCTCCCACACACGTTAGATGCACTGTGTTGGTTAGGTTACAGTTAGTTATACTGGGTGGGTTTATATTATTAAAGGGACACTCCAGGCTCCCAGACACGTTAGGTGCACTGTGTAGATTAGGTTACAGTTAGTTATACCGGGTGGGTTTATATTATTAAAGGGACACTCCAGGCTCCCAGACACGTTAGGTGCACTGTGTAGGTTAGGTTACAGTTAGTTATACTGGGTGGGTTTATATTATTAAAGGGATACTCCAGGCTCCCACACACGTTAGATGCACTGTGTAGGTAAGGTTACAGTTAGTTATACTGGGTGGGTTTATATTATTAAAGGGATACTGCAGGCTCCCACACACGTTAGATGCACTGTGTAGGTTAGGTTACAGTTAGTTATACTGGGTGGGTTTATATTATTAAAGGGACACTCCAGGCTCCCACACATGTTAGATGCACAGTGTAGGTTTGGTTACAGTTAGTTAGGTGCACTGTGTAGGTAAGGTTACAGTTAGTTATACTGGGTGGCTTTATATTATTAAAGGGACACTCCAGGCTCCCACACACGTTAGGTGCACTGTGTAGGTTAGGTTATAGTTAGTTATACTGGGTGGGTTTATATTATTAAAAGGGACACTCCAGGCTCCCACACACGTTGGGTGCACTGGGTTTATATTATTGACACTAGGTTAGGTTACAGTTAGTTATACTGGGTGGGTTTATATTATTAAAGGGACACTCCAGGCTCCCAGACACGTTAGATGCACTGTGTATGTTAGGTTAGTTATACTGGGTGGGTTTATATTATTAAAGGGACACTCCAGGTTCCCACACACGTTAGGTGCACTGTGTAGGTTAGGTTACAGTTCGTTATACTGGGTGGGTTTAAATGAGCAAAAAAAAACAACCCACCCAGTATAACCAACTGTAAGCCAACCTGTACCTAGGCACCTAAACGTGTGAGGCTAGAGTTAATCCTTCAGTATATTAACAAATAGTGAACTGTGTAGGGCAGAGGAATGGTGGCTGAAAGCTTGGCATTATAAGAGGCTCTGCAGCAGCTATCTACCTACTATGTATCCACTATCACAGCTCATGTTGTGTAGTTACCTTGACAGCTGACTAAGGTAATCCACCGAGTGTAAAGGAAATAAATTCATATTTAAAAAAAAAAAAAAACAACTGAAATATTAATTTGAATTTGTTTTTAAGAGATCATTGAAAACCACATACAGAATCATTCTTGTGCAAAAGAACGGGCTATTTTGTCTCTGAAATCCACCATTGTCCGATGGAGAATGGAGGGAGAGAAAACGCTTTGTGCTGTTAAAACATTCTGCCAGCGGAAGATGAAGTAAGACTGCTCTAATAGAAACGTGCTCCATTAGACACCAAGACACATATAGAAATCATGAAAAGGTTATAAAGGGATTAAACACAACAGGAAGCTGTCACCGTGCCTTCCGTGTGCAAGTTACAAGAATATGTACATAATCTGAGCACTGATCTGTGATCAAAACCGAGAGAAGGAAAACAGTATCTATTTACTTCGGGACCCTCTAAAGTCGCAGCACAGTAAGGAACAGCGCATACAGAACATGTCCTACAGGCTTATTCTCACAGCAGAGTTAATTTCCAGGATATAATAACCAATTCCCCACTGGGTATAAGAAACACTTATGCTCTGGCGCATCAGCAAGCTATTTAAAACAATACAGGCAGAATGTGCCTCTTACTGAAAGTACAGGGTCAAAATAAAAGACTTACGGATATTATCTGCGTGCCACTAGCAGTGTACGAAGAAGCATAGTTGGAATTTTTTTTTAAAAAAGAATAAAAATTTGAGTTCATTTTGTTTCAATGCACAAAAATCCTTTGGTGTTCTTTCAAAGCACCCCATTACGAATATTGTTCGGTCACAACGGTGATTAGCTCAACACTCGAGACAGAAATAAGAATAGGGCAAACAGAGAAGATGAAAGAAAGTCCATATAGCACAATTGGTAGATCGGTCTATAACGGCATCAGTCAGATATATATTCTGATAAATACACTCTTCTATTGAATGCCAAGTTAAAGCTCAATGTTACCTTGAGTTTATCATTCCTTTAAAATAAGGAATACACAAGAAATCTGGTTGAATTCAACTTTAAATGGCAAAACCGTCTCCTACCACAATCTGGTTGAATTCAACTTTAAACGGCAAAACCGGCTCCTACCACAATGGAGTCTATAACGGCATCAGTCAGATATATATTCTGGGGTGTACCTTCCCTTATTTGCTTGTTTAGAAAAGGAGCGGTCAGCTTTGGGACATGAGGTGTAAGGTTTTGAGTGCAGGGAAATTGCTGATTTTTAAAAACTTTTTGAAAACTATTTGATAAAAAGCAAGTGGATGGGTCCACAGGCTTCTGACACACAATACCACAATGAGAGAAAGGTAGGTTTTACTTACCAGAAGCTGTCCCTCGCGGCCATCACATTCGACATCTTTTGGATCCTCTTCAACTCTTGATCTCCTAGAAGCCTACTTCAGTGATGCACTCTCACACATCCACAGGAGTACAACACGGAGGTCTACTGAGGATACTGCAGGACTATGGGAGTTTCTACAGCCAAAGCCTTTTTCTTGTCGGCTGGGGGAACTGACAAAACTTGTCAAAGGTAGCTCCACCTTTTCAAAAGTTTTGTCAAGCATAGGAAAAATAGATAACTCTTGACTGCACTGGAATATCAGTGAATCTCCAACAAATTCAACATAAGCATTTCATAAAGATTTTATTTTTAAGCAGAACTTCTTTTTGGGGGGGTGGGCAGGTGGGGTGGGCAGAGCTGATTTATTGTAATGGTTATGGTGCTCAGATTTTCTCTTTAAAATCTATAATTCTTATTGAGAACTTAAAAGGGAAGACTAAAACATGACTGATCTGCAGAACATTCACTACATAGCCATCTGAAAATGTAATGTTAATGTTGCAGTTTTTACAGCCAGACACAGAGATACAATAAAACGTCTTTTATTGATTTTAATGCTGGGCTGCT